GGCTATGACAGTATCCTAAACCATCAAGTGGGGGCTTGCCCATCTACCTCCTTCGGACGTAGAATAGAATCCTAGACAACATGAACGTATGCAGCATACACTTGGTCCATGCTACTGCTATGCTCGGTCCCATTAAGGCCAATGTTTTGCGTGTTGTAGATGCTTGGGTGCTAGGGTAAGCGGCTTCAATGTTCGGGGTCTAACCGAAGAAAGTTGAAAAAGCATTCGGTTCGCTAAGCAGTGCGATGAACAGCTGCATGCGCAAGCGCTGATTACTGGTACTACGGTAAATCCTGCTGCTCCTCCTGCTCCTGCTCCTGCTGCTGCGGCTGCTCCTGCTGCTGCGGCTGCTGCTGCTGCCGCCGCTGCTCCGAACTACTACCACTACTAATTACTACTACTACTACTACTACTACTACTACTAGTACTACTGCTACCATTGTTGCTACTACCACTACCAGCAGCAGCAGCAGCAGCACCACCACCACCACCACCAGAACTCGTACTACGTAGTAGGCACCAACGAGGCTTGGGAACTACCACCAGAGAACCCCAAATCGCCCAAACCCCAAGCTCCATGCCCAAACTAGAAACCCAAACCCGTATCTCCAAACCTCGGGCCTAAAAGTGTTGTGAACTTAGTTCCCAGGCCTCAGGGCAGAGCGTAAGAAACCCGTAGATGTAGAAACCGTTTACCTGTCTCTACCTACCTACCTACCTACCTACCTACCTACCCACCTACTCACCTACCCACCTACCCACCCACCCACCGGCCTGCCTACTTACCTACCTAAAGAAACAGATATATATATATATATATATAAAATATAGAGAGAATATGTAATGTATACACATGTGTGTATTCGTATGTGTGTATATATATATATACACACGCATATATATATATATATACACACACGTGGAGACTTGTGTGCCCTGAACTCGGAGCGCCAAACCCAGCAAGCGCCTCTGCATCGCCGCCAGCAGTCGGTGCAGCCTGTATAGGCCGGTTCAGCAGCACGGTACCTCGAAAAGGATTTGGGGCTTAATTAGGGTGAGGGCTTCATACTTGGGGGTGTAGATTTAGGGTTATGAGGGTTAGAGAGTCCCGGGCTTAGGGTCTAAGGGCGTGTGGGTTTGGGTTCACTTGGTTTGGGGTGTCGGGGAGCGTTAGATTCAGGACAACGGTTAAAGCTCATAAACGTGTTTCCGGGTTTGTATCGCAAATTCAACGTTTGCTTCGGTCAAGCATATAACATGGTGATTCGGACTTTGGTGTAAATAAAGCCGCAGGGTGTAGGTGTTGTTTAGGGCTTCTGACATAGGGGACATCCCTTTTTTTTGAACCCAGACTCTGCCAATCAGCTGGGACATCCCTTTCAGCACGGACTGAGGTGCCGGCCAGCGCCCATGCAACCCTCACCCCATGCAACCCTCACCTGATAAAATTTCAATCACGGTCCAAAAACCCTCGGCGCTGTCCACAAAAGGAAAACCCTGAGCCGAACACCGTATATAATCTCTTAAAATAGCCACCAATTGCACCCTAAACCCCTTTTGCATCCAGCCTGCAGCGCCTCTGCTGGGAAACCCCTAAACCCTAAAACCCTTGTAGGGTTTGGAAGTGTATAGGGAACCTCTCAAGCCCCCCTAACCCTTTTATTAAAGGAACCTTGTAAAAAAATACTATCCCTGTGGCCGAGGGCCCCGACGGAGGTCTTGGTACAACTTCCGGAAGCAAGTGAAGGACTTGTAGACCATGCGTAGACCTAGGCAGGGTTTAGGGTTTAGGGTTTAGGGCGGTTTCGATGAGTTTTCCGGGTTGAGGAGTTTAGGCGGGTTAAGGGAGTAGACATAAGTAGACCCTTTTGCTGCAGGCTTGCAAGCAAGAACGCCTGGTAGCTAGCCACTCGTCCGCCGACTAACACTGTACTCCTAAAACCTAAACCCTAAACGCTCAACCCGAGACCCTAAACCCTAAGCGCAGGGTTTGGAGCTTGGTTCCCAATCAAGCTTGGAGGCTTTTGGAGGCTCGGGGTTGCGCAGCCAATACAGGAGCCTTAATAGGGTTCCTTTGAAGGGGTCTTCAAAGGGTTCTATAAGTTAGTGTATGAGCTACTATGAGGGTTTAGTATAAGGTTCTGGGGTACCTTATACCATAATTATGATAAGGAACCCTAAGGAAGGAATAATATTGGTAATTATTTGGGCTTCTGTATATCATATGGGTTTTATTAGAGGCACGGGGTCCTGGTGGAGAAGATCGCAAGCCGAGATATTCGCCCGGCAGGAGTCGTTCAAGGCTCTACCGTAGTCTTCATTCAAAGCTCTGCCGATAGTCTTCATTGCAGTTCCTTTCTTGGGTTACCTTATAGGATCCTAAATATAAAATTGCCCAACCCCAAAACGAACCATGATCGAGACTAAAGGTAAGCCAGATGCTGACTTATCAGGGCCTTCGGGTATTGTAGGAACCTGGCTAAGAGGGTTAGGGTCTAGGGTTTAGGGCTTAGGGTTCAAGCGGTTTGGGGTTTAGGTGAGCTTGAGCTGAAGCCCACAACTTGATAGGATCTATGTCAATCGAATAGGGTTGTTCTTCTAGACGGCTTTGCAGGAACATGGTTACTACTTCTTCTAACCCCTACAGTACTAACCCTAAACCCTAAACCCGGTTTTGGGTTTAGGGTTTAGGGGTTTAGGGTTTAGGAGTGTTCGTAGCGCTGTGACAGGTGTAGGTCTCAGACCCACGGGTCAGGATTGGAATGTCCCTTGGCTAGATGTGCTTGGATATCGGCGGCAGATTGTCCCACTCCTGCTTCACATCCTTGTGATCCCCTTGGGCCACGGCCGACTTGGCCGAAGGGTAAGATACCACTCGCACGGAAGGACTCCTGTAGTACTCCAGACCCGAAGAGAGATGGAAACCAGGCAAATGCGGCACTGGGACGGTCATCTCTTGCTGAAACATACAGCGAAACGACTAATGGCAAAGATCTTCGAACTCTGGACTCCCCTGAGCAGCAGAATTTGCGGCACGCCCAGCTTGGTCAGTCGCTTTCAAGGCAGCTCCAACACGTTAGATGCATCTTCTGTCTGTTGTTTCAAGGTTTCCACATAGTACGTTGGCATGCAGACAGACAAACAGACAGAGAGACGGACACACAGACAAAGGAGTCGGTCTATCGGACAGGGGTAGTGGGACAGAGCTGTCAGTGTGATCTGGGAGTCTGACAATTTCCGATATTATCGGAAGTTTATCCCAAACACGGTCGTCGATAGCAATATTGTTCAAAATCTGGACATATCATAGCCGCGCAGCCCTGAATAAGAGCAATGCAGCCGATTCCACCATCAACATCTACCCACTCCCGCCTTCCTTCAGGCATTTCCTTTTTCGCCGCAGCGGCTCGCATGGCTGAGACATGTTGGGACTAAATGGGTGGCCATCAGACCAATACCCCTCATGTCATCTGCTCATCAGCATTGCCACGGAAGATTATGCGGGCTCTTCGATGGGCTTCTCTGTCGCCCCTTCTTTTCTCACAAACTTGATTACCTACCTGTGTGTCATCACCCCCGAGCCTCGATCCCAAGATGCAAAGTCTAACGAGTGGATTGTGGGCCCCAGCTCGTGCTCAAATTCAACCCCGGCATCGTTGGATATATCAATGATTGACTTAAACCTTCCGAAAACGTGAAACCGTCTCGTATTCCAGTCTGGGCTTGTCACGCGAAAAGCCGCCGAATTTCAAGTTCTGCAATGGTCGCGCATTGCATGGCTTCGCCACCGAAGCTTCGTCGAGCCCGTGGAAAGTGCAAGGGCAGGGCATCCCTCCGAAGCTGCTTAGTTTTCAGCTTCCGTCTCGAGAAGCTCGCTGCCAAATTATTGCACAAAAAATCAGATGTCGCACAGGTCCGCCCCAGATGAGAGTCGATCGACCGCCAAGACTGACGTATGTAAACCGCCAGTTATCACCACCCTGGCTGACACTAAACCTGGTGCCAGTAGCGTGGATATATACATCCGGGACGGCACCAGAATGGCCATCAAAGATAGCTGCGGCTGTATCTGTGCCGGTAAAGCCGGCAAGGGGCAGTGCAAACTGCCGAAATAGAAAAAGTATATAATTAACAAAGACCAAACAGATTGTAGGATCCGGCACATTCTCCAGCAACTTTGCTCGAATGGCCGGCCCCGTGAAACCACGAGAAAGGTGGCAATGTTGTCGCCGCCTGACTATGCATGCAGGTCGAGTCTTGTGTGGCCCATGCCCGTTGGCTTTCTTCAGGAAGCCGAACATCTAATTACCAGTCGATGGAAATGACACAAGGACCGGAATGTTACCGAGCATCCTTCCATAACTTCAGCAAGATCCACCCATGGTCGCATCACCTTCGTATCCTTTAGGCTCTTGCCCTAAGGTTTGAAGCCCTCCGTCTCATCCCAGAAGTCGCAGATCTCTCCTCGAAGATCTGGGTTCCTTCGGGCAGGGCGCTTGCGCGTCAGGCCAAGTTCTATACCGAGGTTTAAGCTCACTGTTCCGGAGGCCTATTCACTCAGTCCAAAAACCAGTGGTACTGTGTACATACAGCTGCAGTGCTATGCTCTCCTCCCTCTCTCACCCTCTCCTCGTGCCCCCGTATCACGGGGCCCTCTCAGGATGTGACAGCTTTATGATGAAATGACAACTTTCGAAAGCGACATGGATGTTAAATACCTGGCCGGCAACGAGTTGTCCCCGTGGCTGAGTGCTCAGGTCTTCCATCAAACCGGCCACATGCTGAGCGAACTGTTCGTGCCATTGGGGAGATGCCCCACTACTCCTATTATCCGGTGAAGGTCCAGGAGCAGCGTTGCAACAACAGTTTGCCAAAACAGACTGAATGAGGCTGAAGAACCAATGGCAACCCTCAGTCAAGGCCAAGCATGCCTTCACCTACCTCTTTCGCTACGTATGGGTAGTATTCATAGTATTGCGACTTAGCAGGGTGTTTTTGGGTCATGTAAACGGTTTCGACATGTCGAGCCTCGTCACGGCTGAGCACCAGACTAGGTCTAGGTCAAGAAGGAGATCACCACGGATTTGAATTAGACGAATCTCCGAAACGGCGCACATTGCCCGATACCAATGAGTTTCGCAGCGAAGTCTCTGACTCTGACACTCCACCTTGCAGCAAAGTGTCACGCGTGAGGCGCCAGCCTGGAACCACATACCTCCCTCCTTGACCTCGGGCCATGCAGGCTTCTGGTTGGCCTGGCGAGGACGAAGCGTTCAACACGAAGATGCAGGTAAAGCAGCGACTGTGACCCTTTTGCCTGGCTAACGACGAAGTGGTTCCAGCGGTTCGGATCTCCGGAGCCTTGGTGTCAAACCGCTCAGACCCAGCCATTCTTGGAGCCGCCGCACCAAACTTCCCGGAGAGTCGCGAAGGAAGTCGGCCATGAAGGTCGGATACACGTTCACCAGATCCTAAGTCGAGCTTCCGGGCCTTATGCAAGCCTCGAGCGGGAATTCCCCACTCCCTACTGCAAAACAACCAAGTATCTCAGAAGCTGAAACTACAATGGGAATGCAACAACACCAAGGACAAATGATAAAATAACAACAAGCATGCAGCTCACGAGATTGAAGGCTGTGTCCTTTCTGGCTGTTTCATGTTAGAGGTCTTCTACTTCTCGCCTTCGAACTCTTGCCCTATGAAATGGGCATTCTGAGGCAAGAGCTCAATAACCAAACATTTGCCCCGCTCCACTACTGTCGACCGTGTTGTGTTTGTCATGTTGGACTGGTGACTGCTGCGTTGCTTTAGCAACAGCGGCTGCTCCCTTGCTCCGAAAGCAACAGCAGTCTCTTCTTGCCACGAGAAGCCTCAGCGCTGCTGGAAACACGGCTCCGGTTGGGGAAGAAGTAGTCCAGATCTGTCCCATGGGCCTCTGTGCAATTACCACACTGCTGAGCTGCTCTGACATTCCTATCCCTGTGGGCAAACTCTCAGCAGCACCCGGCGAGGTTGGCAGGGGAATTCTGCTGTAGGTATCGCATGATTTATAAGGAGGCAGACTACTTGCGCAAGCAACACTTTCTGCTATGCTTCTTTCAAGCCGCATTGCGACTTGTGCACTAATTGACTTCGGCCTGGCACAAGTTGGCACAGCTGTTGTCATGTGCAGGACAGATCCTGTGCCTAGCAACTAAGCCTCGCAATCCTGAGATGTCCCCTTAGGACCCTTTGCGTGGAAGGGGCAATTTAGGGCAGTCCGAGTCTCAGCTCCCGGGCACGGCCAGCAGCTCTTTGCCTCGACCCTGCAAGAAAGCTGCATCTTAAGTCGGCATGACAACTGCGATCTTGCCAATCTATAATGTGGCTTACTTAGCCCTCACTGACTACGCCCAAGCTCCATAGCACGAGGAGTCATGGAAGGCTTGGCAAATGCTCCCCAAGTGCAACTTTGGATGCTTGGCACGCTCCAAGTGACAGGGGAGACGGTGAAGACGTTCAGCTACAGGACCCCCAAACCGGAAACCACGTACCAAAGCCCCCAAAAGCGCCTCTGCGGGTGTGAAGTTGGCTGGTTATGCCGAGTCTCCATGGCTGGGATGCCTAGCAGTGGACTTGTTTTATTGCTGAACATATCTTCAAGGCTTTTTGCCTCCCTCTTCGAGGCTTAGTTAGGGCCCAGAGGTTTGCCTTAGCTTCAGGAGTCCTGGACTCGTGAAACGTGTAGGAGTCGCTACGAACACACAACCCTCGCGCATAAGCCAACCTGGGATCTGCACGATAAGGTACATGATGTCATGTTATATAAGTTTCTGTATTGTAATATTCATTTTTTTTTAAGTTGTGGTATGTTGAATTTGACAAAAGTAGTTGTGTGTATATACATACACATATAATTCCGTATATAGATAGTACAGCCAGCATAGCTTACAATATTATGATACAGTAATGTTGTATATTATCGTTTCGAAGCAGGAAAGCTGGAACCCCCCTCGACTGGCCTGCTCGGGGGTTGTTCGCAGATCCAACGCCCCATAAATACCAGTAGGCCTGGTGTGTGCAGGGACCTTCATGGTTGAGGCATGTTGAGGCTAACTATCTCTTCTGGGGTCTGCGATTAAATTCAATTGCTGTCGCACGGGCTCTGTTGAGAATGTCGTATGAACTTAATCACCAAGTAAGGTTTGCGGTGGACCTTCCCATTGTCAGAGGTTGATGCATGCTTGTATGCTTGCGGCAAGGCTCATCAGCACCGGTGTTGCCTTAGCCGTGCACTGCTGCATTCTTGTTAACCAGAAATCCTACATAAAATGGTTCCAATCTTGATCCCTCGAACCTGCAGTCGAATGCGTGCAACATGGCACATACTGTAGCAAGGGTGTAAGGAAAGGCTTCCTTGGGCTTGGGCTGGCACATCTAGAGGCTGGCCTTTGCACCAGTGGCTTCGTACCAGGCACGCGCCGACCGGCGCGCCACGCAAGTCATGGCTCTGTCGGCACGGACCTTTCCAAATCGCATCTGGAGACAGAACTCAACACCCAAGCACCCTCTGGGTCCGGCATGCTTGCAGTGCCAAGAAACGCGTCGTGCTGCCCAGTAGGCCGGAGACCATCCTTCGTGCGAGAACTTGTTGGCCTGCGAGCGACAGAGCATTCGCGTTCTCTACAGAAAAAACTTAACAACAGGCTTGCATGAATGTGGCTTTACACAAACGCCAAGGAACTTTCATTGCATCCCTGGGTCGACATGCTAAGCTTTGGCATTCCGGCCTTGTCGTAGAGGTTCTGCTCGGACAGACTCTCCTGCTGCTACAGCAGCTTTCCACTTACACTGCCGACTTATCTGCAGAACATTGCTCCCAGCAGAGGTTGAACGAAGCATCGCTTGCTGCAGGATGATGGCGCAGGATGCTGAAAAGCCCCGAGAGCTTGGGAACGGGACCTTGTAGATCTTGACAACGCTGGGAACCTGCCACTTAGGAAGAACAGACTCCAACCAGATCCTCAGTTTCAGCCGTCAAGGGCTTCAATCTACAACACTGCGAGTCGTAGCGGCGAAGTGCGGGACACAAGCATCCACAGTTTTGCAACCGAGAAGTGATTGTCGACCGAATTGATGCTGTGGCATGTCTATCACACCCTGATAGTGGTGTCATGCGGCAACTGCGGATGCTACTTCCATCATTCATATTTTTGTGACTGTTCTTCATTCCTGTTTCCATCATAGAAGCTGTTACTGCGATTGTGGCTCGTGACAGTTATTACTGCTATAGAAGTCGGCCGAGTGGCTCGAAGTCCTCCATCTTGGCATCGGCCCCGATGTCAACAAAGGAATCCTCGATGGCAGTGCCTATGATGATTGGCACATCCTTGTGCACCTTCTGTTGCTTCAGCGCATCCATGGGCGAGTAGGGCAGGGTCACCTCAGGTGCGCGCCCATCGGGCTAAAATGAGTCCCAAGGTCGCTACACCACTCATAAAACTCACAAGGCATGAGGGCTAGATGCGCTACTCTCAACCCCTCCAGTGTCCAGTTACAAAAACACACGCCCTCGAGATACTCTAGATTTCAGTCTATTTACTAGATGATCGTCAAAGCTTGTGTAAGCCCTCAGCCTTCGTAAGAAATAGTCCCGTAGCTGACCTGCTAAGCTCATGCCGACGGCGGAGCTGCACTTCGCACGATCACGAGACTGCCTCTGAATGATGGTAATGGTGATGGTAAGGACGGCATTTGCATGTGTGCTCGCGCAGAACTTCGCTAGTCAGCAAAAGACGAAACTTGGCGAGGTAGAAGTTACTTGATGTGATTTCTCCGGTTGCACAAGCTTCCTCGGAGGGTTTAGGCTGCGGGTCGTCTTGCAAGAGAAGCTCGAGGGATTAGCCGTCGCACAGGCGCGCTACGAATCCCGCACACACTCCCAAATGTAAGAACGAAGCATGCACCCTCCTGAAGTGCGGAAAGACAGATATTTCTCTGGGGTTTGGATGGCAAGTGGTGGTACTCGACACGGAATCTTTTGGACTGAGCTGCGCCATCTACGGTTGGCGCTGCGAAGAATTGGCTGGCGCTCTGCGCGGCCAGCAGCTCTGCCATGTCCATCTGCATCAAACCTGGAGTCTTTTCTGTGAGGTTGTGAGCCGGATCGGACAGATTTTGCTGACCAAAGTTATATAGTCCTCTGGCGCTTCAGATCCTGGCCTTCTGAAGGCCTTCCCGGGAGTCCAGCAAGAGCTTGTTTCGTAAAGCACGGGGAGAATTTTGTGCCATTCCGCAGAGGGTTTCGAGCTTCGGCACCCAATTGTTGCTGCTTTGTCTTCAATCGGTTGCTGCCGATCATGGCTGCCATGTACACGTACTGGTAACGCATACCACTACAGGGAATTGCAGTATACACACCTGCTATAACCTATTGCTGTATCTATTATCAGTAAGGGTACTGCTATTAAAGTTAATGGTTGTTAAAGGATGTGTTGTATTAAAACTAGTCTTCTTGTTATTGTTACCACCACTGTTGGTAGACCCGGCGTCCTGAGGCTTCAGGGCTTCGAGCGTTTCTGCAGCTCGTTTAGTAGAAAGTCTGAGTGATACCATGATACTCACAAAAGATCCGAGCAAAACACAAGAGTCCCAAACCATTCTGAGCCGATCGATTTCCTAGAGTTGCCGACTGAAGTGCAGTAAAGCCATCGAGGATTGGATTGGCCAAGCAGCAACTGCATGGCACACCGTCCTCCCAGCATTCAGCTTCATTGGCGCATTTGGTGGTGTTGAGGAAGGTCTCGTAGCTCCTCTATGTCAAGGTTACTTTTTGCCACGCGACTGTCTCATGCAGGGGCCTTGCAATGCACGACGATCCACTTGATGATGCTGCCGCCTCTCGTGTCCTACACCAACCTGGGTCCACTTAATGGTCTCTTATGTACGTATCTTTCCTGAGATGCGACTTGCTTGGGGAAGGACTGGGAAAACTATTCCTGACTGCAACCCATGTACTCTCATTTCCATACCACGGGGCTCCTCTCACAAGCACTGGCAGTTTGGGAGCCCCAATCTGCAAAGCCTCCACTTAACCTCGGCAGATGACGCATGGCTAGAAACACGCAGCAACCTTGGGGACTCACAGGGCAATTCTCGAGAACCAGCCAAACCTACACTATCTAAAGCCTTGAAGTGTACCGGATGAAAAGCTCATCCAAAGTGCTGTCCCGTACCTACCAACTGTTTTACCTGTCGCTTTGTGACATTTTCAGGTACAGGCTCCAACTCGAAGCATCCATACGTCTTTGACCCTGTGTCGCGTTGCAAGGATCACCCGCGGCTCATGCGCAGAACTATTCAGAACAAACTGCGAAAGGCGTGAACGTTGACGGGTTTTGGCGGTGGCTACGAAGATTCCCTCTCCAAGCCAAGTTGCATGATGCCGCGGCCAAAGAGTCCTGACAGCTGGGCACAGCAACGTACCAAGATCGCAGGAAATATTTGGCACTGCTCACCTTCATGCTGCTGCACACCTGCCTGTCAACAACGTCCCAACACAAATACAAATGACTGTGACTACCTCGTCTTTGCTGGCAGATCGAATTGCCTACTGTACCTGTTAACCGTCGCTGCCACACACACATGCCTGATGTACATCTTCCATCACCTAGCTACGTTGCTCTTGACCTGAGAGGTGCAGAATGGGAATCCTCGGCACAATGTAGAAGGCCCGTTTTATTAGCACAGACGATGGCGACGACGATGCAGCGGTGCCATGTCATTGCCGGGGACAACAACGACAACGACACTGCCACTATCTGCCTGAAAGTTAACACTACTCTGTCTCTGCCGTGACTACTAACGGAACTAACAGTTCATAAGCACAAGTATAATCACCACCACCACCACCACCACTGCTACTACTGCTACAACAACTACTATTACCACTACTACTACTGCTACTACTACTACTACTAGTACTACTACTACTAGTACTACTACTACTACTACTACTACTACTACTACTACTTCTACTGCTACTGCCACTGCTACTGCTGCTGCGCTACTGCTACTACTACTACTACTACCAGTGCGTGTGGGTTTGCTCACCTCACCGAGCTGATTGTTGTAGTATGATAGCCCACTGGTAGACATGACCCTTGCTTCCCTTGCAGGCAATCTCGGACGTCTTCTTCTGCTTCCTTGCTCAGATCGCAGAGGTGTCTGTGCAGAGGGGCGACACACACACGTTGGCTGACTGCAGGAATCAATGGCTAAACTATGTGTGCTTAGTTCTTGAGCCTTGAGCCCTTTGGACTCTTGAGCCCCCTTGAGCCACAATGCCGGAGTATGTTGTACGGTCATCGCATGGTAACCGAAGGTTTCCCATATTTGGTAACCGAAGGTTGCCCAAGCGTAACATAGCTCATGACATGATTTCCAGAAATGTGCCAGGCTTCGAGGTCTCTTCGCACTCCCCCATGAGTGAAGCTTTGAGCTTTACTCAGCTGTAGGAAGAGAGTCGCGGGACCTGAAAAGATAACTCGACGGCAATTTGGCATTGTTCTTGTGTGCGTGAGTGACTGCCCAATTAAATGCTGCGTGAAACATAGCTACGTCGATTGCGATCCCCTGTTTCTGTGAGAAATGAAAGGATGCATACACCGAAGAAAATATGCATGAAAAGTGGCGCATTGAGCCATGTCCAGCATATGAAGTTGCAACCGACGCGTTCGGCAAAGCGCATGTAGAAAATCAGTCATCCCACTCATTGACGGTAGTCTTGGTAATATTGGGATCCTGATGATGAGCCTTCTGACCAGTGACCATATCGTCCTTGGCTGCGTTGCCATCGATCACGTTGATATTGTGGAGGAGGTCCTTTGGGTTCCGGTGGATGCCGTGCTCGTGCTTTAGCTTTCGCTCGGCGAGCTTCCTTGGCTTCATCAGCTTCTGCGCGGGTGCCGGGTCTGTCCAAGACACTTTGTTGCCCTTCAGGAAGGTATCCTCCAGGTAAGTGACGTAAGGCAGTGTTGTTCCTGGTCTGAGTGCCGTGCACTCTGCCTGCTGTAAGCTTGTCGACAAATTTAGACGGCATCTGAATGTCCAGATCCACCATCACGGCCAGGAGTTGCTGCGTGCAGGTCTTTGCGCCCAGCATCATGCATAATTATGCCAGATGGGTCAATGCAGAGTACATTCTGGCGCACATTATGACGTCTTGTCTGCAGCAGCGAATGCTGTCGGTATCCTGCGATCTTGCACACGAGCTTCGACAGCATTGCGAAACAACTGGAGTGCCTTTGCGGTGCATCCTCATTCTGATTCTCGCGCATGTGGTAAGCTGGATCAAAATGATCTCTCCAGTACCCACGTTGAATAGCTCCTCACATCAATTTGAAAATCAATTGGTGTGTCCTGAACTTGTTGAGCAGGTGCGTGCCTTCTGGGTCCTCCCTGTCGTTGAGACTTCTCACATATTCGAGAACTTCTTCGTCTGTTACGTCTCGTGAAAGTCCAGTATTGCTGTCAATCTCTGAAAGAACTGGTCCCCAATCGTCGAGAACGTCATACCTTTTGTAGCTCCGGAACATGTGCTGCATTATCGACAGCGGGAGATCCAACCACTTCACATTCCCCTTCCAGTTCTTGTGCATGTAACTGATGACGATATACGCCATGTAGCGTGCGAGTTCGAGCTTGGGGTCAATGAAATATGCCGACTCAATGTGGGCGTGTTTTGGCACTTGCATGCATGTTCTCGCGTGAACCAGGTCTTGATCCAAGTGAAAGTCGCCGTCATTGATCAGTACCGGCTGCCGCGAGCTGACTTCTTCGAGTGTTTCATCCTAGTCCTCCATCTCCGGCGCAGGTTCTGTCATGACTTCATCAGCGTCCATTTCCTCATCCGGTTCAGCAATAGTTTGTCTATGGTCCTCGTCGTTGTCGACGACTGGATTTGCATTGACCGCCGCTGCTGCTTCCTCAGCTGCTTGATTGATCTCATCGCGAGGTAACTCCAAAGGAGTCTCCTCTTGATGGCTTGCTCTCTGGAACCTTCCGCGAGATACGAAAAAAGAGAAACATTGTGCACATCTTGATAGGCATGAGGGAACACATTTTCCTCCTTGGTAGCATCATGTGGTCCGTCTTGCGTGTCGCACAACAGCCCCATCAGCCTTTCAAGCGTTGGATAGGTCTTCATGGATTGCGCAACAGGCGACGTAAAGGAATCCGCGCAAACTTCATCCTCCAACTCGTAGTCCAAGATCTTCTCCACTTGTTCGAAATCTCTTCGGTGCTCGCCAATTGGTATACAACGAATCCGCTTTCTGTCACTTTGCCTCTTTCGCGAACAATGTCGATGAGCCGAACATAGATGGTAACCAGAGGTACATGCCTTTCCACGCTTGACCGGTCACTTGGTTTCTTGCGTCCCATGGTGGAAATACACCCCAGTGACTGTGCAAACGGCCGGACATGCTGTGGTTCCCAACGAGATCCCTACCAGCTTTGCCCGGCACCTTACCCATCCGTCACATTGCTCCAATTTCTCATGACCGACATGTCGTGTACTGTTGTAGTTGTTGAGTCGTAGTTCTTCTCGTTGCGTTGCAACGCTCATCAATCTGTTGTCGAACGGTTGCGCATCATGCTCGAGGTTGTCTTGGCTCGGCGGTTCAGCCACAAGGATTTGCAATCGAGCCTTTCCATGATGTACATAGTTCAGGTAGTTCCCATCGAACAACATCTGCAATCTTTGTTTAGCTGTCGTTTGCATTCTTCTCTGTCGTGTTGATGAAGAGGTTTGTCGTCCACATTTCTGTGTGGATGACACCGTAGGACGTCCATTTCCAAGATAGTGTCAAGTCTCACCCAACCAGCTTAGTCACGAGGGATCGTAGGAATTCGTGATGTCACGATCGAGTAGCTCCCTTCGGATTTCCCATGTGATGCCTCAGGTCCTTCCGGATATAGAACACAGCTTGATGGGCCCAATACTTCTGGACGTAGGTGAAGAATGCGGCTGGCTTGGCTCTTTCCAAGAAGTCCCATTTGGGGTGGCAGAATGAACAACCTCTTTTGGGCATTTGCTGAAGAATACCGCACGATGCGCCATCAGAAATGCAGGTGTGCGCTCGATTGGTGTACCATCGTTTGTCCCCGATTTTCGTCAGCAAGTTGGTCTAGTCTTCGATCTCCACGTTGTGGGATGACGCTGTCTCTGTATGACGTGTTTGATTTGACGCATTCGACGACCAGGTTATGATCATGACTGCTAAGTCCAACGCTCGCAATCAGTTCGCCGCAGATGTCATTCAAACCTCTCCTGCGCATTACGGCGATAGACAAGTAGAGCTTCGACCGTACTCGATGACAAACATTCCCCCATGTGCCGCATTTGCGCCTTGTCGGGGTCTTGCTTTTGCCTTTGCCTAGACGACGCAACGCTCTCCACATCCATGTTGTCAGTGGAACCAGTCAGCCGTTCTTCGCGACTTCGTCGGCCATCGTCAGGAGATTGTACCGTCTGTAGCGCATTCGGCTGCTATTCAATGTCTTTTTTCATGATTTCAAAAAACTCGAAAACTTACTTCAGCTGAGGAGTGGCATTGCGCCCGCTATAGGAATGTTGTGAACTTCCACACAGTACACAAAGTGTTCCTGCGAAGTCACCGTCCACTTCAATACTTCCATTGACGAGCGATCCCAATGCATCCCATGCTTTAGCTTTCACAATGTTGATCAGGTCATCATCTCGCTCTGTGTTGTTGATTTCCTCACCTGGTTGGCCACCCTCCATGCCTTGCGAAGAATCGAAGTTTGTGTCATCTATTTCAACGGCACCTTCCGCACCTGCCTCCGCATGGGGTTGCAGTACAATTGAAGTTGGTACGGCAAGGAAGCGTTCTGTAGGCAAGGCTCTGATAATGTCTTGAACATCCTTCTCGATCGCCGCGTCCTGTGTTGGTGGCTTCCTCTTTCTCCGGCTCTTTGACGTGTTCAGCTTGATGCTTTCTTTTGCGGAATATCTGAAGAAGCAACGTTCCAGCCCAATGATGCTCGCGTTGATGTCCTGAAGCTCCCCCCACTTCGGAAACAAGTCTGGGTAACGAAGTGCGAACGCTAAGAAGTCCAAGAGAAAATTCAAACACATCGTCCAACAATTCCTCATTCGGGTTTTCACTCCCTCGGGACAGTTCCACCCGTTCCTCTGGTGTGAGAAGAGTCTTCATGAATCCAGCGTAGGTTGCCTTTCCAGCATCATAGTACGCGCTGAATGCGAGTCGTAGGCACGATCCCACGAAAGTTGCTTTGCCTTTTGCCCATGCCGGGTAGGCTAGTGCGTTGGCTGGCGAGCATCGAAGGCCACCATACGCCGAGACGACTTTTCCCTGGGCTGCGTAGGCGATAGGACAACATTGAGGGATGTACTCCAGTAGATCATCGCCAGGTTTCGTATCTTCCAGCATGTGGGTATAGATATATCTTGCGCACACGAGAGAATACATCTCGGTGTCCCTGAGCTCCTTGTAGTTGTTGATCTTGTAGTACGTCGTGTGAAGGAAGTACTTGTGTGTGCATCCAATGCAGTATTCAGGATTCTGCGGGTTCGAGGATCCGAATGACGTTTCATCCCTGCAAAAGATGTTCATCGGCTTTTCCCCCTCGCAATACTTGCAGAAATAGGTCTTGTCATGGGCACCCGAATTCATGACCGGCATACTATACTCATCGATCTTGCGCCAATATTGTTCTTCACTGTAAGAAGGCTCAGGTACCTTCAGAGATTTTCAGAGATATGCCGAAGTTCTGTCCTCTTGAGTGGCCCGCCGCCTTTCCGAAGAAATCCAAGCATTTGTGTCCATCTCTCTGAAGCGTTCAATGTTGATCGTCTTGTGGCGGAGCAGGTTTTGCCACTCAGTCAGATCCTCCGAGTTCAAGTAGCAAGCCTTTATCATCTTCTCGCAGAATAGCTGCTTCTCATAGATCGCGAATCCTCTGCAGTGAAGATGATGATGTGGTTCGGTGTCAGAAATCTTGTCGACGCTGAGAATATGGGTCCCAGATTGGCTTTCTCGAAGAGAGCTAGTCATCTTGCACCAGGAACCATGGACCACTATACATCCACGCATTCGCAATTCTAGAGCGAGTAAGCGTCAACGGCATCGTACCCAACGAAGCTCTCGTGAGTCCTCAACATTTTGCGCGCAAATGCAAGAAAGCGTAAGTCGTGAGTTATCATCACGATGGGTGGCCGAGGAACTAACTTCAGGATTGCATCGATGTGCTTGATGACGTACACTTCCTTCAATACAGTCTCCATATGTTGCCCCTGGCATCCACGGAAGATTCATGCGTGGGAACCGCCAAGTTCTCGTACACAACCCCCTGCAAAGATGAATATGCACTGTAACCATGGACCGCTGATCCTCACTCAGGACTGAGAGCTGCTCAAAGAGCGATTCGAGGACTCTCTCCGATTTGGAAAAGTCCATGGGTTCAAAGGCCGTTGGTGCAATTTTGGTGAGTTTGCTCCAACCCTTGTCTAGCAACGCATTGTGCGAAGGAAAGGTAGTCTGCTTGTTGGAGGCGTCTGTTGGCTGGTGCAAGGGCTCGCCGGGTCAGGTCTTTCGTCCGTTCTTGCACGTTTCGGTCCATGAGCTGGTGTGGCTCGTGGCAACATTGCGTTGCCCCACGGGACATCTCCCCAAGGATCATCATTTAGATCTTGTGCTGGGTGTTGAGGACCTTGCGGAACGAACTGAGTGGGTTGTTCATCGACCACAACTCTGCCTGAATCACGCGCCCATTTGGGATGCTTGGTCAGATGGGGCGGAAACAAGTCATCTCCACCACGTAAAGCATCAGGCTTCGAAACTGAACCAAGTGCACTTTCCCAAACGTTCAATGCATCTCTCTTCATGCAGTCTCTGCTATACCCAGCTTCGACACTCATCTGGTTCCAGGAACGTAGTAGACACTCTTCAGGAAAATGCATTCCGCCTTCGCTCTGGGCGACCTTGGCACGATGAATCTGCTGATAAGCAAACTCCTTTGCTGTCACCCCGACGTCAGTGCGAGGGATAGTTGTCCAATTGAAAAGTGTACTTCCCGCTTCTTCGTTGTACTGGAGGTACGCGAGGAGAGGGTGGCTTGCCTTAATGTAGGCCTGCATATAGTTAACCGCAAATCTGAGCGGTTCTTCGACTTCTGGGCCAAGAGCTTTGCCAGCCTTCAACACCACGTCAAAGACGTTGATGTAGGGTGGTTTGTTGTTTGCTGACCATTGTCTTGAATCGATGTCGCCATTGTGAGTTCTGATGCCGTAGCCGCTGCACGTCGCGAATCGAATAGACATCTTTGCAATCGCCACAATCTCACTCTCGTCCAGGAGCCCTTGGCCTTGTACCGGGAACTTCCAATAATGGTCTTGAAAGATCTTACAGAAGTCCATCTCGCGTGTTGGCCACACTGCTCAACAGCTCAGCTATCAGCTTGTCCGTCTTGTCGTCATCACCCTCTTCCAAGAAGATGTTCTTGCTTGGTCGACCTGTAAACATGTTCCTGTGTGGCCGTGTAGTAGATGACGAAGACGAGGATCTTCCGTGCATACCCCGCATGTTAAGAAGATCGCGAAGCTGACTGTTTCGCATCTCAGCCCCGATTGGAGTAAGACTCGACGCTGGTTCCGTACTTGATGGCAACGACGGACCAGGTTGATGATCCATGTTGAGATCTTGTACGATAGGTGAAATGTCAGAACATACCCAATAATGGTTTTGCCTCTGTTCACAGGACTGTGTTGAGAAGGTGTGCCGACATCAGGGGATCGCATTTCTGTTCCTACTGGAAAAGACAACCCTTCCTGACTACTGACTTGGCTACTCCCGTGTTCCCATCCTGCTTCAGAAGTCTTCGATGAAAGTGGCGCATTGGATGATGATCTCGCAGGCGTTCAGCTTCAAGCTCGTACTTCCGCGCCTGTTGATTGCGCGCTTGAAGTTCCTCTTGTTGTTTCAGGCGTAGACGTAGCTCACCCAACTCATTGTGCAACGCAGACAAAGGTCGTTCTCGTTCATGAACTTGCTTTTCATGAATTTCAGCCTGTTCCATCTTCATGTTGGCCTCGTACCTTACGGCTTCCTCTTTGTCCAAGCGACTTTGTAAAGCTTGTGCTCCAGATTCTGCCGCGAGTATTCTCCCATTCGCTTCTTCCTCAGCCGCGTGCTCTTCTGATTTGATCATCTCAATCCTTTCTCTCATGATTGCTATTTCAGACTCTCTGTTGGAAGATTCCATTGTGAAATGTAGGGTTTCACGAGCTTTCGTGTTGAGCGCATCGACGAGCTTCTGATACTCCTTGGCCATGGTGTGACCATCACCTTGGACTTGTTGTTCCAAATGTGCAAAACTCTGTGACGCCTCGCTTCGAAGTTGACCCAACTCGTGGTGTAATGGTTCTGCTGCTTCCTCCTCACGTTGATGTTGAGCATGACTCGCTTCTTTGTTTCTTCTCACCACAGGTGCGTACTCCTCGGTAGAGTTTTGATGTGCCCGATTGACGTGTCCAACTGCATCAGATAGGAAATCATGTTGTCGTTCCAGCTCTTCAATCCTTATCCTTGCTCCTTGGTCTTCCTGTTCATGAAAATTGACCCACTGCACCATTTCACTCACCCTTGCGGTCAGCGCCGCCACAGTTGCCTCGTGCTGTCGTACTTCTTCATTGTGATTTCTTCTCATCTCTTCTTCGGCAAGTAGTAGCTGTTGGACAAATTGTTCACTAATTGCTTGAGGTGGATGGCGAGGACGCCCTGTAAGGCTCAACACTGGAAGTTTGCCGCGTGCTTCTTCTTGTTGACGAGATTGGATGGCCCTGCCCACCAAACATGAAGTCGGCACCGCCCGAGTCACCGGTAACCGGCGAATCCGCATCCCTCGCCAAAGGCATAGGGGTTCTCTCAGTCGTCTGCCGCCTCACCAAAGGAGAACGTGGCTGAGACTGGTTTCTTTGCACTCCTTCGCGACGTACTTCTGGTCTGCTTTTTGTCTTCCTCTGTGGTTGCTGAATCCACAGAAATCGTCAATGCCTCCTCGACAGTTGATTCTCCTGCCGCTGGCATTGCAACTTCGCCACCACCAACGCTCATTGTCGTATCGGCACTTGATCCAGATGTCATTGTTGGTGTGTTGTCACGGTGTCAAAATCCTTGTGTAGGCAGAGCCTACGGCTGATAACCTGCGTGAGGGTTTTGGTATATGATAATCTCGTAGAACGCTCACCTCACCGAGCTGATTGTTGTAGTATGATGGCCCACTGGCAACCTCGGATGCCTTTTCCTGCTTCCTTGCTCAGATCGCAGAGGTGTTTGTGCAGAGGGGTGACACTCACACGTTGACTGGCTGCAGGAATCAATCGCTGAACTATGTGTGCATAGTTCTTGAGCTTCGAGCCATATGGACTCTTGAGCCCCTTGAGCCACAATGCCGGAGTACGTTGTACGGTCATCGCATGGTAACCGAAGGTTTCCCATATTTGGTAACCGAAGGTTGCCCAAACGTAACATAGCTCATGACATGATGCCCAGAAATGTGCTAGGCTTCGAGGTCTCTTCGCAACTGGTACTAGGTACTACTACCCCTGGTACTGCTCCTGCTGCTTCTACTACTACTACTACTACTACTAGTACCACTACTACTACTACTACTACTACTACTACTACTACTATTACTATTACTACTGCTACTGCTACTGCTAGCCTGCCTTGGCTGCTTGGCATGGCCAGGTGAACACTGACGGATGCTGAGCCTGGTCGCACACTTAGCAAGTGGGTAGTTTACGGCAGTGGGATTGACTCTCGACTGGGTCGGCTGTGACAGTTCCAGAATATTTGTAGGTTGCTGGGGAAAGCAACTTGGCGTGCTTGCCACCTTTATTCCCTGCAGGTGAAAGTAGTTTCGCAGATAGCCTGTCAACTGCAGCTAGGTAGCTCACCTCTTACCCAGGAAAGGCGTCATGCGCAAATTGCATGCTACACTGTAGCATCCGGGTTTTGATGCCCGTACCTTCGGCTCCCCTGGCCTGCAGACCAACCCACCAGACCCACTCGTGATGGGTCGCCGCCGAAGGCCTCGATGTTGCCTGGCAGACAAAATGTCCAACTTCGAGAGGGCAAAGCGGGGGTTCCAAACGCACGCACGTAACGGTTGCTCGCTTCCAAATCGCGGAATGACTCATCTTGGGTTTCAACAATTCCAGGATTGCCCAAACTGAACAAGCAGCCTAGAGCCTGCTAAGCTGAGCCTCGGGTCTGGAGAAAAAGGCCCAAAGGCAGAAATATAGTAAGCAAACGTGGCGACAGGGTGCGTTGCACCCACTGCAGGGCCAGCTGTTGGTCCAGGATACCAAAATTACCTCATCCAGCACAGCGGTGGCGCGTCGGGCTTTAGGGTGTGATGTACGATCCTGACCTGGTGTCCGCGGCTTGGTTGTTTGGTTGCGCATGCGGTAGATAGAAACAGTCGACGGGTTCCTGACACGATGCCTGTTGTGGGACCGCATCATCTCAATGGGCTGGGCATCTTTGCAGATCTAGTCTACCACGTCGCGGCTGAAGGCTCGAACACCGGGCATAGAGCTCGAATGTATATCTCGTCGAAAATAGACGTCTGTTCAACCGAATCCCAAGTATGTAGGTTCAAACACATCGATATCTTCGTGCATAATGCAGAGCCAGACAGGCACTCAAGCAGAGCTACAATAAGCATGGTGTTTGCAAGCCCCTGTAGCGAGTCATGCAAACACTGATCGTGGTCCTTTTTGGCATCCAGGCAAATGCAACGTTTGTCGCCCTCCGGTTCCGGGAAGCCGATCACGACAGAACAAAGATGGCGTAGTCGTAGTCGTAGCCCGAGCTAATCGTCCATGGGCAATTCTCGTGGCAAAGGTGGTCTGAACCAATGAGACCACCCATACCACCACTGCTGCCCCAGTGGTGCTGCTCCGTTCGCATTTCTGCATCTGCCTGCGGCCGCGCCGTGTTGCCACAGGTGTTACCCCCATCGATCATCTGCGTGTCGTACTGGGTGCCAAGGCCGGCCCCAAAGTTTCCGGACCAATTGACGTCGACGTTCACGGAGAGCCGATTGAAGTCGAAGTCCCCGTTCTGATGGTTTGAGTTCACATAGAGCTTATCGGTGCCGTCGATCGTGTTCTTGATCAGGGGCTCGTTTTTGACAAGGGTCCCCACGTCACCACCAGTGGTTTCCACAGCCATCTGGAACTTCTTCTCCGCAAGCCCTGAGGAGCAAGTGTTGCCGATCGTGAACCAGCCCTGCAGCGTCTTCGTGTCGACCAGCTTCCACGAGCGCCATCCAAGCGCCTTGCCCTCATTGTGGCAAACGATCAGCAGCTGCTTGGCCTGTACCTTGTTGAAGACCTCCAAGTCCTTGTAGTCCCGACTGAAGCGTTCTTCCACCTTGTCGCTGGCCCCGCCAAGGCCCGTAGCGGACTCCCAGAAGTCCGTGTTAATGTAGGACACCACGTTGCCGTCGTTCGTATCGATGTTGAGGGCGAGGTGCCAGTCGCCAGAAGGCGTGGTGCCGAGTCCGGAGAAGTCCAAGCCGGACGTGCCGCGAGATTGCTGCTGGCAGCAGGAAGCAACACATGCTTTGGCGGGACTGTCCGCTGGCAGGCCGTCGAAGTTGGCCTGCACGTACCCTGCACTGCCGGCCTTGTTCGCGGGGACGTGGCAGGTGGGCTTGTTGGGGATAGTGGAGAGCTGCAGCGGGAGGTCGCTGTCGGCCTGTGCGCTCATGTCCTTCGCCTGGCAGCTGTCAATGGCGCTGGCCCTCTTGGACTCCTCGAGATTGAAGACCTGAATGATGCACTCCATTCGCAAGATGGCACGCCACTCCTTCTTCAAGCTGTCCAGCTGGGTCATGGACGACGTCTGGACAGATTCGTAATTCGCGACAGCCTTGTCGTAGCACGTTCCAGAAGCCTCACACTTGCTGGTCGCCGCCTCGTAGTGGGAGCAAGAAAGGCTGTCCATGGCGTCCTGCACGCTGTCGCAATTTTCCTTCTGGCTTTCATAGGTCTTCAACGCGACGGTGCATTCGGGTCCCTTCTCTTCCAACTCCTTCTTGGCCTTGGCGCACCCCTCCTTGAGCTTCTTGTACTCTTCCAGAGTCTTCTGCGAAGCCTCGATCAGCCGTGTGTGGTAAGCCTCGAAGGCCTCACCGGTCTTCACTTCACAAGAGTCCTTGGCGCTGTACATGGTCTTCTCCAGTGCTTCGAGCGCCGCGCACGTCGTCTTGGCGGTGCTTGTCACAGTCTTCAGCTCCGTCTGGCAGGTGTTCTGCGCGTCGAGGTTTTGCTTCTGAGTCTGTCGACATGTCTTGTGGGCTGCACTCTTGGTCGTGAAGTTCTGCTCGAAGGCCGCGGAGCTCTTTTGCATCTCCTGGCCACCGCAATCGGACATGGCGTTGCCCGCGTTGGTCAATGTGGCCTGCATGCCCTCCAAAGTCTTCTTGATCGAGGGCTTGGCATCGTTCAAGAGCTGCTGGATCTTGTCCACCAAGGCCTTGGTCTCAGGACTCGACCGGCCCTTTGAGGCGCGCAAGGCCGTCACCAGCGTGTCCTCAAAGTCGATGTCGCTGTCGGAGTTAATGGGCAGCCTCAGCAGGTTCAGCGAGCCCTG